TAGAAGCTAGGCTAATGTGCTTGTGGTTAAAGCATTCGTTCGACACACGGAAGGCTTGGGTTCGATTCTCCGTATGAGTACAATGTGTAAAGCTCGGATTCCCCAAGGCATACTCCTAATCAACCAACCGGTGTATACTTGGATCTTCTATTCTATTCTGACTTTCTGCCATTTTGACACCGTTTTGTAACACAGCCGTGCTGATGCACGGTCTTGAGCGCCTAGGTCGGCCAGAACGACGACTGATAACAGGGTTATTTGTCTGTTGATATCGTGATTGCAGTAGCCTAACTATTGGCTGCGGCACACGTCCGTACAATCGACGTCCCAACATGTCCCAAACATGCTCAATCGGATTCAGGTCTGGGGACAGTGCTGGCCATACCATATTATATCGATGACGTTGGAAGCATTCATTCACAATTCTGGCTCGATGTGGACGTGCGTTATCATTTTGAAACTCAGGACGCCCTCCCATGGCCCTCATGAACGGAACGACAACTGGAATAATGATGTTGTCTCTGTATTTCTGACCAGTTAAACTGTCCTGCACAATGACGAGATCGGTTTTGGAACGCATGGAGATCCCACCCCAGACCATTACGGAATCCTCCGAATCGGTCATGCTCCACAACGGCAACGTCATTAAACCTTTCACCCTGACGTCGGTACACAGGATTACGGCCATCATTAACATGCAAGTTGAATCGCTGAAGAGAATTTGAGACCATCTGCGATTACCCCAGCCGATGTGTTCATTTGCAAAAGCCAAATGGTCTGTCTGTGATGAGGCTTGAGAGGAGGTCTGACGGCAGGACGTCGTCCTCTGATGCCGTGTGACAGCAGGCGACGTCGTACAGTGGTCACTGTAACACGGGTCCCTATTACACTGTGTAGTCTGTCTCTGAGGACTCTAGCTGTCGTGTGCCTTACCCGGAGAGCTGTTAAAGGATGTATCGATCGTCGTCTTGTAACTTTTTGGCGACCGGATCGGGGCCTATCCGTCACGGAGTTCGTTTGTTGATAACGGATCCACAGGTTTGAAATGGCTTTCTGTGAAACCCCAAGTCGGCTGGCCACGTATCGCTGTGATCTGCCGTTCTGAAGTAAAGCAATTCCTTGGTGACGTTGGTCTTGGCTTAAACGTCTTCCACGACCCATGGTGTTATTGGTCAGACTGTTTTGTGGTTACCGATCGCGATTTCTGTACAGTTCTACTGGGATGCCTTGCAGGTGCATGACATGTTGCCACTGACAAACATTTTTCAGGAAAACAAGTATCCCTGGTGGTGCGTTGTAGCGATAGTTTTCGGGAAAGATTCATTACATATTGCCAACATGTGAACTCACTATTTGTATGTATATTGATGAAATGGGCATACTGGAGACATATATTCTCTAACACCATTTATAACACACTGAGTTTAAACTTTTGAAGAGAAGTTTATATTTCATGTTAATGCAACGTTTCTGTATGTATTCTTATACAGTTGTGAAGCAAGATTGAAGAACAAGGGCACAGAACAGATTTACATACATCTGTTAGGGGTTAACCAAGGAAGCGCCTTGTTAGGGGTTAACAAGAGTTTTACGCCGCACTCAGCAATATTCTAGCTATATGGTGGATGTAAATAGTCGAGTCTTGACCAGACAATCCAATGATCAACAGCATAAGCATCGATTTACGCAATTAGGATACAATGACATGTGTCAAACAAGTCAGAGAGCTATGTCATCGTATCCCAATGAACATTAAATTTTAGTTTGTGTGGACCAGTCTTGGTTATTTGCAGGTCGAAGACATACGGCTTTAATGTTAACAGTTCGTCGTCCTTAAACAAACAACATTCTATATACTTGTGATAGTGGCCCGATATTGGAACTAGATTCTGTGCAGTATCGCGTGACATAACGCACCGTCTTGAAAGTATTGTGTCTGATCCAAATTTGTTTCAATCGTGTTGAAGTTAAAAGTACATGTAATTTCCGTTAAGTGCAAAATCGTCACGAATTGTAGGTGAGATCTGGCTTGACGGTGAATTCCTGCAATGCTGGTGTTACTACTTCACTGCTGCCAGAGAAGATAGTGTGTAGATAGAGGAATACAAAAGTCGAGTGACCACTCAGTCATAAAACAAACTCTATTGTGTTCGACTGTTATGCCTCTGTTTCTTTTAACAATGAACTTACAACTCACATTGTCTGTTTGATCCACAGCTGACACAAGGTTCCAGTTGTGTACATTTGTCCTTTACATATATCAAAAGAAGTTATTTGCTCTAAATGATAACGTTATCGTTTTTGTTTTTTCACTCATTTCACCTTTGCATATAATAGAGCAAATATCAAAATACATTAGTTGCTTTAAATAATCACTTTATTGTTTATTATAGTTGATCGTAATGCCTGATGTCTCCATTATTGGTCTTATCATTGTTGAATTTAACGCAAATGGAAATTGATTCTGAAAACCTTCTACCAACAATGAGCCAATTTCTGTGAAAAGGTCTGAGTTCCCCTACCAATTTGGCTTTAGTAAAGACTTAAGCGCTGAAACAGTAGCTCTCACACTTGTAGAAAGTATTGCATATTATAACAAAAACGATTCACTAGTCTACTGTACCTTCCTCAATAACGAGATTGCATTTGGCTGTGTTTGGATTGACGTTGCAATCTTGGAATTACTGGAAAGCACTGGAGGCTATTAAGCTTATCCTATAGTTCAATGTACTCATACGTAAGGATTGCTGGTTTTGAGTCTGAGATGCTTGTCACATTAGACATGGCGTGGATCAAGGTTGTGTTTCATCTGCTTGGCTATTTTTCTTTGTATATACATCATCTATTGTCTGCACGTAATGCTTCTGCCTGCTATGTGTGTATGTGTGCCCCTATGGGGAAAATGTCCAGGAATGCTACTAGCTCAAAGCACAACATTGTTCACCAGTAATTCAACAGATCTCCAAAGACTACTGGACTATATGAAAATAGGTGGCAGATAAATACAATGTTTGAAAAAACCGCTGCTGTAATTTTTGATGTTGCATCCCTATCTGGTTACCTGTTTCTTGGAGAAAATAATCTTCCTGTCAAATGTTCTGTGGTTTATGCTGGTGCCCATTTCAGCACTACTAAGTATTCTACAGAGATAACCAATAATGTCTGTGTAAATCTACAAGCATTGATAAAGATGAACTACCTTCTGGTCTCTACTTTGGCGGTTTGCTTCCTCTAGTGGCTGTACGTGATACTGCCATGTGGTCTGTATGGATGTAACGTTTGGGGTAAATTCTCCCGTAAAATATGAAATGTCAGAAATTGCCAAGCAATACTTCCGTAAGAAAGTCCTTGGCTTTAATAAGTATATGCCAAATGAAATTGTGAGAGATATATTCGGCATAACATCCTTACAAGAATAAATAGATCAACAAAACCTCTTACTCCTTGGTAAACTATGTAGTGCTAACAGAAGTTTTATACAATTAATGTTTTAGCCAGCTTTGGTCAATACCGCTGAAAAGAATCATTCATATATAAGAACAAGTCAGGTATGAAATCTTCTGTTTTCAACAGGTTACAGCTTGTTTAAAAATACAACTTGCTTAGTGCAATCTGTACCTAAATATGGGATTCTATGTATATGTTTATGACGAAAATGCTTGGTCGAAACTAGTCAAATGTAAGCTAACTAAATATGAACAAATTCAGTTGGTAAATGTGGGACAGACAAGGTTACCTCTGTCCTGATATCTAACAATAAGACCAGGACAAGAACATAGACTATATAATTTCACTGATATTGAAAGAATTATAAGCCTATGTGGACCGCCAATAGAATCAAAGGAATGTTTATGCGGAACAGTTGCTCGCGACACTATATGAAACATGTTTCTATGTCATGCCAATGTAATCCAACAGAACGGATTTCCCTATTTGAAAGAAACTGTGACATCCTCGACTAAAAGATTCTTTCTTAAAATGTGGATGAAGACGATGATGTATTCTTGTCATTCCTGCTTGGAAGCATACCTGACCACTGTAATGATGTATTAGATCATAACATCTGGTGATAATCATCAGCTCCTTCATCCGAAGTTGGGAAGGCATACTCCGGCATTGTTCTCAAATATCTAGTTACAACCTTTCCTATTACGTTGTTTGCTCAAATGTAATCTTAATTTTATGGAGTAAAATAAAGATTATCTAGGATTATATATAACAATACGATAATTCGGTTTCAGTTCAGCTCGTCTTCTATTGTGCTGCTGGCACACACTATCACATCCAAATGGGAATGTAAGGAAATACGTGCACAATTACTGTTAAACTTTCTTAATGACTGGACCACCTCCGTGGTGTAGTGGTTAGAGCGTCCACCCGGACAGCGGAAGGTCGCGGGTTCGATCCCCGGCCGCGTCATACCAAAAGACGTTAAAATATGGTACTTGTTGGTTCCTGCCTGGCGCTCGGCATTAATGGGTACAACAAGGACTGGTCAGCTCAGCGTCAGTATAATGTGTCTGAGTGGGGTATTCATGCTTAACTGCGGCATGGTATCTCGGTGAGCTAGGACTATAAAACCAGCTTAAGTCTGGGCTTGTACAAGCAGCCACGCATACACACGCATGCACGTCGTCATACGAGCGAAATATTCTCAAGCACGACTTTAAACCCCATTTCACCTCACCTCACCTTCATGACTGCAACATGTGTGTGGTAAATGGTACAGTTAGCTGCAATAACTATACGTCAGAGTTACATAGAGGCAGATCTGTCATTGATTACTTCATTGTGCCAAAAGAACAGTTGGACTGTGTTCATTACTTCAATGTGAACCTGATGTCTGATGTCATCAATCAGTCGAGTGAGCTTGGATGAAGCAGTATACCTGACCACTCTCTGTTAGATCTGACCCTCACAATGTCGGGTATGGGTGAAGGGGAGTCCAGACTAGTGCGAGGCAACGTCAGTGCACCGTCCGAAATATAATGTGTCCAGACTATATGTGTCCAGACTACCTGAGAACTTCTTGTGTGGTGATAGTCTTAACATGCTGAAGGATGTTGTAGATCGGATTGAAGTCGAACTTTCAAAAAAAAAACTCGCAACGAATGCTCTTGTTTTATGAATTCATACATAAAGAAATGGATACAAAATGAGCACAAAATCAACTAGCAAAAATAAACACTCTAAGAGCCACAAACCATCTTTCACAGATAATCTCCAATCCTTGTGGAATAGTGTGTGTGTAAAAAGGGGAGGCATGGGTTGCAGTTGAAGGAAATAAAAACCACAAACGAACTGCCAAAGCAATAGACACGAAAGAACGAAAACTCTTTGCCAAACAGCTTAGAAAAGCTAAAACATCGTATCAACTTGAAAAACAAAACTTTTAAGTCTTTTAAAATCTAAAAAAAACCGGAACGGCAAAGAGTGAGTGAGTGAATGACTTTAGTTTTACACCGCTTTCAGCAATATTCCAGCACTATCACGGCGGAGGACACCAGAAAAGTGGCTTCACACATTGTACCAATGTGGGGAATCGAGGTGCTACAGGATGACGAATCAGTGTCAAATGATACTGACAAGGTGTTAAACCACTGGCGGAAATCGTACAGCACGCTTCTTAACAGTACTGCGAGTGATGGGTACATCATGCAGCACTATGACAATGTGTGCGAGAACATGCGTAAACGTACGTGCTAATTAACGTTACGTGAGGTAGAGGACCAAGAAGGACAAGGCTACCGGGGAGGATGGTATTCCGGCAGAAGTTTTACAGAACACTCACTGTATAAAGCTGTTACATCGTATTATAAGCTATTGTTTCGAGAACTCTGTGTCAACAATTCAGTGAGGCAAGGAACTCATCAAACCAATTCCAAAGGATAAAAGTAACGCCTCTAACCCATTACCGTACATAGGCATCACTCTTATATCAGTACCATGTAAATATATGCTTGTCTTTTAAATATAAGACTTAGAATTTGGTTAGAAAAAAAATGACTTTAATGCAGAGGAGCAGAACGGCTTCCGGGCGGTTAGAAACTGTATTGATCACCTGTATTCACTGTGCAATGTGATAAATAACAGGAAATCAGCTAGACTATCTACCTTTGTATGTTTTGTGGACATAAGAAAGGTTCTTGACACTGTTGATCGTAATATGGTACTGAAAGCAGTGCAGAACTTATATGACGATGTGAACTGTGCTGTTATGTAAAATGACCACATCTCGGACTATTTCCCGGTATCACAGGGTGTGAGAAAGGGTGCTCCATGTTTTAAATATTTGGTGTATAAAATGGCGTCTCTCTGTTAAACTTAATAAAACTAAAATCATTACTTTAGAAGAAATAATAAAAAACTCCGTTGATAAATCATGTTTTGTTTCTGATACATTTTACGGTGTGGGGGGTTTCCGTTTGAAATTGCACATGGATATGCATCTTACTGTAAAACTGTTAATCTGCCAGTAGAGCTTTATCTGCATTATACACTAGTTTATTTACGCTGGGGGTATGTCTTATCATGTTTTTACAAAGTTGTATAATTCACTTGTTGAACCTGTATTGTTTTATGATGCGAGTATTTTGGTGTATAAATAGGTATAAGTAAGTACAAGTAGTTCAACATAAGGCATGTGGAATGTTTCTTGGCACTGGTAAGAGTGCTCCAGTAAATGCAATAAGATGGGATATGGGTTGGTGCTCTGTAGCACAAAAAGTAGAAAATGTTTTCGTTATATTTTTAGACTTAAATCTAAAGGCGCCAGTCTAGTGATTCAGCTAGGTTGAGGTGTCGGGATCGAGCCCACCTGTGACTGGGTGTAAAAACCCTGCAGTCGATTTTGTGAGCAGTGTTGTTACAACCCCTAGTGTACAGTACACATCCCTGTGCCCTTAAACGAACCCACGAAATCCGTTGGTAAATGACCAGATGGTGGCCACATGAATGCGTGCAAACATCCATTTACGGGTACAGCAACGTGCAGTAAACTTGGACAAAGCACTTTGATTATGTGTCTTAATCCACCCAGCTGTGAATGGGTACCTCGTAAGTATTGGAAAGCAACACTAACTTAGTGCGCCTGGTGGCTGCACGAGTTGTATAATCCCCAGGGAGTTGAGATTGAAAATACGTTGTGCCGTTGAGATCGACATCCAGTGATCGAGGAAAAAGAAAGCGCCTTTGAGCACCTGTAGCTGGATATTGGCGCAATACAAATATTAGTATGATGTGTTTAGAAATGTATAATTTTTCGGCATTATCCTCCCTAAGGTCGATGGACTTCTGCAAACAATACTTGAGTGAAATGATCCCGCTCATGGTCAATGCTTTCTCCTGCGGGTGTTGAAATGATTTTCGTTAAAAACATTCTATAAAGCGGATTCTACGATAAGATCTGCCATTCTGCAACGTCAGTAACAGTACTCCACTGCTGCCAGAGATAGTATGTAGGGAGAGGAATATTAACGACAAGCGTTCGCTCAGTCATGAGTGAGTGAGTTAAAGTTTATAATCACACACAATCATGAAGCAAACCCTATTGATTTTGCATAATGAACTCACCACTCCCATTATCTGTCTCACATAAGACTCCAGCTGTGTATATTTGTCCGTTGCATATTTTAGAATATATAGCAAAAGAAATTAATTGCTCTAAATAACAACGCTAATGTTAACTATGCTTAATCGCAATGCCTGATTTCTTCCCCATGGGCCTTGCCATTGTTTAATTTAACGCAAATGGAAATCGATTGTGGCAACGTTGTACTAACAACAATGAGCCATTTTTTGTGAACAGAATACGATATGATGTGGACCATAAAGTGTTCATAATCAAATTGAATATCACAAGATGCATGTTTATGACAATATATATTGTATTCACATTATCTTCGACAATATGATAATTCTGAGTGAGTTCAGCTAGCCTTTCATTTTGCTGCTGGCACAAACTATTGAGCTATATCCAAAAGTGAAAGGAAATACATGTAATGCCGGTGTGGTGGTTGTAATAACAAGACCTTCAGACGGTAAAAGTACTGTTTGATGACAGATATCTCATTCGCTATTTAACTCCATCAGACGTCTTTAGGTCGTAGCGTCCTCGTCCTGCTTCACCCATTGCATCTCTACAGACAGCTACGGACAGTGACTAAAACTGGGAAATGCCTTCACTGCAGTATTGCACATCATTTGCTTGATAATGGTGTTAGTAGCTACACCAAAATGTTGCTCATATTAATAAGAAAGAAGTTGTATATCCATAGAACTCATTGTTTACATCATGTATTTGGACGTTGAAAATGTTGTGGAAGATCAGGCCTACGCATATCTTTGAATGGAAAAAGACAGCTCCAGACAACTCCTTCAAACGAGGTTCGATTAACTCCATGGCATATTCTTCTGGGGTATTCCGGATCAAAGTGGGGGGCAAATGCGAGGCACTTTCAATGTGTGTCTACCATGTGCTTCATGTATAGCATTGATCTGATACAGTGGATTACAATGCAATATTTATTTCCGTACTCAGGAGACCTCAGGCCTTTAGTGCAAATACAGTGAATAATAATTGATCAGTTAGAATGCGATTTTTCTGTATGTGGTAGCGTAATAGATATACATGGAGAGTATTTCGTAATGTACTTTACTACACATGTATAAAACTGGTTAAAAGGGATATGAATGTATAGATGTCAGGATGTACAAAGTAGTAGCTCTTAATATGCTTATTTCTCAACATATCATCTGCTGGACATACACAAAAAATGGTACTCATCCTCAATTACACTATAAATACTTACCAGGTGCTATTAGCAAATCATGAGATGAACAGCGGTATTGCGCAAGGCATATTCTGAATTTTGTTACATTTAATACAGACAGATACTGTCCATAGATTGTTTAATCATTCTATTGCCTTTGTGACACTATTCCTTTCCCCATTTCTATCATAAAAAATCATCATTACATTTTTTTCGGAAATCTGCTTGGAGCCATATTTAATAATGTTAACCAATACTAAACAACTTTCATATTAGCTTCAGTATATAAGGGAATCTACCTCATTCGCCATATACTGCTGAATATCATGTATTAAGTTTTACCCCAAGATCCTTCTTACAAGCATATACATGAATGTTTTATCATGGCATCAAAAGCTTTGATTCCCCAGATCTTAGTGCATATGTTAGCATACAAAATCTTGAAAAAGAGGTGTGATAAGTCACCAAATAGTTTTTATATATTTCATAATGCCTATTTCAAATCATTTTACCTTGCAATGAGGCTTGAGTTGTATGTATGAACCATAAAAGATGATTTGTAAAATTAACACCTAAATAATTATATGAATTACTTGTTTCAACAACATTGCCTTCATAATACCATTTTTCACGTTTTGCCAATTTTCCAGCATTTTTTTATGAGAAGTATGTTTTAGTTTTATTAACAGTCAATTTATAATCATTACAATAAGTTTCTAATTCAGTTATCAATTTTTGTAAACCACTTATTGTACTAGAGGAGAGTATGATATCGTCAGCAGATGATAATAAAAAGATCTGAATTATATCTGGATGTAACTGAATTCCATTTGTACAGTTCCCTAGGATTTAGATCGCCAATTCATTAATGAAAAAGGAAAATAAAAAAGGGCTTATGATACAGCCTTATCTGACTCCAAGTTGACCGGTAATAGTGTCTGACAAATCATTATTATTTCTTACACATATTCATGTATACTATGCAATAGTTTATTCATTTTACAACTAACACCATGTCTAAGTAAAATATTCCACAATATATCTCTACAAACCGAATCGAACGCCTTGCTGATTTAAGTACATGTATTTCTGTACAATATATATATAGAAACCTTAAGCTTGTTTCCCGTGAAGACTTTGCTAGGGATCTTCAGTCTTCAAGCTACTCACAGAACCTTCAGAGGATGTGAATGAACTTGCTGATCTCTATAACACAACACTGATTCAACTCTTGGATTCTCATGTCCCTTGTGTCACTAGATACAGGCGACTCAGGCAGGAACCACAGTGGTACAATGATCAGATACTTCTCGCAAAAACCCACAGGCGCAAGGCGGAGCGTAAGCGGAGGAAAACCAGGCTTGAAATTCATCGGCAGATGTATAACATGGCCCGTAATGAATTAAGCCAGCTGATTCGTGAGACAAAGTCAAGATATTACAATGATAATGTATAATCCCAGAATCAAAGCACTTTTACTCATCTGTTTTCCTTACTTGGAAAGACGTCAAACACTACTCTACCTAATGTGGATGATGATTTGACTCTTGCAAACGACTTTGGCAAGTTTTTTTCTTCTAAGATTGAGAAGATTAGGCAAGAATTTTCTCCTGAGTCAATTGCTGTAACTGGTGCACGCTTTCAAGGTGAGGGTTTGGATTCCTTCGACCCGCTCACAGAGGAACAGATTATCTGCATCATCAAACAATCAAAGGGCACAACGTGTACACTTGATCCAGCCCCTACTAAATTTGTCTTGGAATATTTTGACATGTTACTTCCTTTGTTCACTCAGATTGTCAACTTAAGCTTGAAATGTGGCACTGTTCCAGGTTGCTTCAAGCAGGCAATTGTGAAACCTTTGCTGAAAAAACCTGGTTTAGACTCCACCTGTTTCAGCAACTATAGGCCAGTGTCTAATCTTCCATTCCTCTCCAAGGTACTTGAAAGAGCTGTGAAGATGCAAGTTAGTCAGCACTTGAGTAAACATGACCTCTATCACAAATTCCAGTCCGCCTATAGGTCATTCCACAGCACGGAAACAGCCCTGCTCCGTGTTGTTAATGATTTGCAGTGGAGCGTTGACAGGGGGAACTCAGCCGTTCGTGTTCTCTTGGATTTATCGGCCGCGTTTGATACGGTGGATCACCAGATACTTCTATCAAGACTTCAGTTCCAGTATGGATTAAATGATATGGCTCTTCTGTGGTTTAGGTCCTACTTATCAAACAGGACTCAATCTGTTGCTGTTCGTAATGCTCAGTCGGCGGAAGCTATTATTCTTTGTGGTGTACCACAGGGATCGGTTCTCGGTCCTGTATTGTTCTCTATGTATACCAAAGAACTTGGTGATCTGCTTAGTGAGAAAGCTACTAATCATCATCTTTATGCTGACGATACTCAGTTGTTTGATGGTATTACCATGGGCTATGACAACAGTTCTGACTTGACCAGAATTGAAGATGCCATTGACCATATTGGTTCGTGGATGTTCAATAGCAAACTAAAATTAAATGAACACAAGACAAAGGGTATGATTGTTGGCACAAGAAACATGTTAGTAAAATCACAACATGTTGAGTTGAAAGTTGGAAACATGGTCATTCAGCCTTCTCTACATGTCAGAAATCTTGGCGTCCTACTCCAACCTGACCTCTCCATGAAGAAACAGATTCTGGATCTGTGCAGAAAATGTTACTTCCATCTCCGTAACATTGGACAGATCAGACATCTCCTGTCACAGGATGCTGCGGCTGCCCTGGTGAGAACACTGATTCTCTCACGACTTGACTATTGCAACAGCTTGTTGGTTGCAGCTTCACAAGAGTCCATCCAAAAGCTCCAACAAATCCAGAACACAGCTGCCCGCATAGTTACTCTCCAACCAAAACGCTGCCACATCACTCCCATCCTGTTGTCTCTTCACTGGTTGCCTATTGAGGCTTGCATTGACTATAAGATCCTTACACTTGCTTATCAGTCCATTCATGGTATTGCACCAGTGTATCTTCAAGAACTCCTCTCTCCTTACATGCCAACAAGAACTCTGCGTTCATCCTCGGCTAATCTGCTCTATGGACCAAAGTGGAACCTCAAATCATTTGGCTGCAAGTCTTACCAGAACATGGCATCAGTCAAATGGAACTCCCTCCCTGATGAACTTAAGCTGTCTCCAACCCTTGAAAACTTTAAGTGCCATCTCAAATCTTTCTTTACAAAAGTTCTATGGACTTCAATAATGCCTTATTGATTGTTAGCGCTATGAGCATACCTGGTGTGGAGTTTGGCGCTATATAAGTGGACACATTATTATTATCAATGGTAGTGTATCCATGTGGGGAGCAAAAGCACTGTAAGTTCCCATGGTCCCTAGTATGATGAATACCTTCAGTTGTTGGGGATCTATATTGTATTGTGTTAATAGTAAGAAAGCTGTAGATTTACAAACTAGTTTATATTTAAATATGTGATCTTCGTCGACAGGTTTTTGTAATTCAACTCTGTATTTATCATATATTTAGAACTTGTTTTAGTCACGATATGGCTGAAATATTGCCGATGTGACTTTAAATATTAACCCACTCATTTAGTAGAATACCAACAGTTGCGTGATCTCAACCTGGATCCTCAGCATAAGCCTGTTTTGAAAACTGTAACTAAGTGAATATTATCATCAATATCGGTATTGATACAATGACTGCCTTTATGTTATATTGAGACAGATTCCCTCTTTGTATCCCAAGTCAGATTTAAAAAGGAAGATAGAAACAGAATCCATAAGTCCATTCTCTATACACTTACTGTTCTAATGCTGATTACACATATGCACAGACATTATGGCTGCGCAATATAACCGGTTTACCGGTATTTACCAGTTCAGACATGAAATCGATAGGCATCGCGATACGCTGATCAAAAACCGGTATTTCGACATGCGTTCTGAAAACTTCGTAACACTCGGAAATCTTCGGATATTTCCTTTTTGCATCTCCACGATATTGCCTCTCCCTTGATGACAACAATAAATTCATTGCTTTGTGTGAGTGTGTATTCAGTTTCTAACACTTATGTAGAAACGTCGCTTCTGTTCATTTTAGCCCTCAGGACGTCTTCAAACCTTTCGTTTTGAGCCACCGTGAACCACTCCTTCCAGTTGTTGGTTTGTCCTGTAAAACCGACGAATGTCTATGTAGAGGATTAAACCTATCGTTTGAAATATGTATATGATTAAATGCGGTATTTATTAGGAGTGTATAGTGGAGACATCATTTTGGACGTGACTAACCACATCACTCACTCAACTTTCCTGAACATATTTCCCCCTCCCTTCCTTCCAACCGACGCCATCATCCTTGGTCCCTGAGTTGTCTTTCTGGATGTTGGAAAAGCTGCAGGCATCCGCGATCGCCTGTGCTCTCTCCACATTACCTGGTTTATCTAAATATGTACTTTGTTTTTGTATCCACGAAACAGGGTCCTGCAAAAACAATTGACCAAATGAAACCCGTTTAATACGAAGAGATTTTAAAACGTGAGATTTTGATATAAATTATTATTTTGTATGATCGAGTGATTTATCTGCTCAGAAAAACGTAACGTTTTACTAATCATCTTCTCGAATCCAAATCAAACAGTATGATGAAAACTGTATGATGTTGTATATTAGTGAAATTACAATTGCACCAGACAGTTTGAGTGTTCTTCTGTAGCAAATTCCAGTGACTTATTAAGGATCCATGACATTTTAGCTCGCTTTGACGACATATTCTGAACATGTTATTCAGAGGGGCGGTTGGGTAGCCTAGTGGTTAAAGCGTTCAAATAATTCCCCACATGGGTACAATGTGTGAAGTCCATTTCTGGTGTCCCCAGTCGTGATATTACTGAATTGCTAAACGCGGTGTAAAACTAAACTTACTCACTCACTCTGTATGCATACACACTTCTGTATCCATTACGTAACTTTTATGGCGCTTCATGTCATATGTTAAACTTTCTGATATGTAAGTACATGTATATTATGGGCCCGTGGCCCCCTTACTGAATGAACTCTCTCAGTACTCATGGGTGTGTATGGAATATGTTGTTTGATTGTTTTCAGTGAAAATGTTAAACATATTCACATGGAAATAATTATCGCAATACCTATGATTAATAACCGTTTATATACATTTATATGCATAATCATATTCATTTAGGAAATAAAGTTTGCTGTACCCCAATGTGAAAACACATTGGGGTAGAGCGAACTTTACATATTTTCTAAGATGCTAAATTTAATACTTTCTAAGGATAATTACGATTAATTTAAGGCAGAAAACAAACGACGGTGTCGCTGACCTAAATTAAGAATCCTCGCACAGGGCTAACTGGCGCGCTGTTCTATTGATGTGTCTGCCCCCCTACGTTAAGACGAACGTTACCAGAAAAAAACAAATGATAACAGTTTGATGACGGTTTACGTTCGGATTAAATATCTTCTCTGAATTATCTTAATTACATCTGTCATTAACGTAAACCATATGGGGCAATATGAACGTCGCATTTCTACTACCAACGTACGTTTAGATCAGTACATCCCGATGAAGCTGAGTAGTCAAGCGACATTCCACGATTGCATTGTGGGAATGTAAACATTGCGAACGTTACCGTGTCGCTGAAAACTTGTGAGTCGAATTGAGACATTTTAACCGTCGTAAAACATAAACGTAATGTTTCCACCAGTGATGTTAGCTGCGTGAAGCAACTGCAAACCAAGAAACGGGATGCAACGGAGTAGTTTACTGTTTAGTTTAGAGGCCGTACGAGGCGATGACAACTGACATGCATCGTGACGTCGCTTACATTGTGACGTAATGTAAAATGGTTCGATTACGAGGGGGCACACCAGAATGGCGTAGTGACGGGATAACGTCATTCAATTGTTACGTCATCAAAAAACTATACCTTTATTGTCTGATAATGTATTTCTTTTTCGATTGTTCTAACCGCTAGGCATCTTAGAAACCATAATCATGTTTGTATCATTATTTTGACCGCTTCGGGCGTACAATACATTAATTTGAAATATGCACATGCTACGATCAACGACGAGAACTACGTGCAATACCTATGTGAGGATTGTATGCCAGGAAACTGAAACTGACCACATTTGTTAACGTCACACGATCAAAATGAGTAATATATTAACATGTTTGTCATTTAATCATTCCTTGAGGATCAGTTTATCCTGATAGTAAGTGAAATTGAGGTTTGGATAAGTTCACTTGCTACGGTTAATGTTAGCATATCGATGCTATGAAAAATATGAAGCGTTATGACACTTTGTTTTCCACCTGTATATTGTGCACCTCTTTCATGGTACTAGGATTGGGTGCATAATTTGACTTCTAGACTCTGCGTTTGTGTGTGTTAACCCACTGACACTCAGAGCCGCCCAGTACTTGTTGTACTCCCTTAATGCCGAGCGCCAGTGTCACGAACGACCATCACCGAAAGGGATGCGTTAAGAAACGCAGTCATACAGTTACATGCTCCGTCAAACATAACCAATACCTCCTACGAATAACAATAAGAAAGCCAAATCGTGATGACAACCTTTGTATACTTGACGTGGGATTTAACCATTTTCAATCATATACATACAAGCTTCATGGATGAACGACTTCCTTATTATGACAAACCCATGAAGGTCCGGGTTAGAGTTGATCTTCAGTAACCCGTGCTTATCGTAAGAGGCGACTAACGGGATCGGGTGGTCAGGCTTACTGACTGGGTTGACACATGTCATCGTATCCCAATTGCGTAGATCGATATGCATGATGTTTATCCCTGGATTGTCTGGTCCGGACTCGATTATTTACAGACCGCCGTCATACAGCTGGAATATTGCAGAGTGCGGCGTAAAACTAAATTCATTCACTCACTATTATGACAACAGACAAGCTCTATGGATGAACAACTTCTTTGTTATGACAACTGACAAGCTTTATGGATGAACAACTACATTATTCATAATGCGCTTTATCCGTATATTACTCTCCAACTTCTAAACAATGCCACTCAAAGAAGACATTTCCAATCCTGGGCTACGTTTCACAAAGCGATCGTAGCGCTAAGATTATCGTAACTCCCATACTGTAACATGGGCTTACGACTGTCGTAGCGCTACGATCGCTTTGTGGAACGGGCTCCTGGATGATACACATTCAATCAGTTGAAATGTGAAGCAGCTTCTAATTTTATGTCAAAGTTGTTGCTTGATCATCATTACACTGAAGGCCTCAGTAAGCCTAACTGAAAGTGTCTTTCACAAAGTGTATTCTCATATTATCAAAATATAAACAAATCAGCTATGGAAAGGGTTTTGTCGCTTCATTATTTGCAAATGGAAATGTATAAGAAAATCATCTTGGCGTAAGGCATTGGAGTTAGTGTCTAAGCGGACCAATACATATCTGACCCCTTCCGTTACAATGCTGGCGACACATGAGTCTCGGCGCTGAGGCCAGCCCCGGACTAACCCATGTACAAACTTCAGCGCACTAAATCCATGGGTATATGCTAAGGAAGTAATTAAAGTAAATGGCTATACAACAACTACGTGCAACCAAAGTCATGAAAGTAACTGATTGTTTGAGGCCATATAAGTAATCAAAGTGATTGGTTGTTTGAAGCCATACGGCAACTACCTGTATCCAGACGACAGATCGAATCATGGCCAGACAAACACCATGACGCCTCTGGTATTACTGGATAGTGCGTTAACTCCATTCCCT